CCCCCTAGAACCTATGTTTCCTCGACTACTGTTCAAGAGAACTGGTATTGGCAGATTTGTTTTGGGGAATAGATCGGCTAATTCCCAGTAAATCCTCATTAACCCACACAGCCTCTGGATTGTTTTGTCTTTCTTGACCTCATTTTAAAACTCTGGAAATGGGAATGTTCCCAGTAGGATGGTGGGGAGACAGGAGGAAAAGGAACCCTAGAGAACCCTGGCTTCAGTGCACCTCAGGACACATTACTTTCTCTTGGGTTATTTTAGCCATACACTGAGTCATCTCTCCACACCAGCTGTAGGATTTCACTACCAAAGGTGTTGCCTCGACTCTGGTCCTGGTCTTGCTGGACTCTCTAGAATCCTGCAGCATGACCAACCTCAGAAACAGGTTTGAATTAGATGCTAGTTGTGTGGGGTGTACTTGTGTCTCAACAGTAGTGACCATTACTTGGTGTCAGGTCCTCAGTCAGAGGGTGCAGCCCTTCCAGCAGATGGTCTGCTGTGATCTGACCATTCGTTTGATTCAAGAGGTCCATAAAGAGGTGCCTCTCAAACCCACACCACATTTTACAGGCTCTAGTCATTTAACCAGGTCTTTCTGGACCTCAGATCTGTAAGTTGGGATTTGTACATGGTGCCAAAGTGAAGGCCTCTCTAGAGCCTGGACCTCAGAACAGACATGGTGACTCACTGAATTTAGTAGGCAGACTTGAAGAAATTAACCAGGATTTCCTCAGTAATGCTGAGTGAACAGGGAAGAGCCCAGCGCCGAATCCCCGCTGTGTGGGGAAATGGGTACTGCTCACGGGGAGGGGAGGGGTCCAAGTCCTTCTGATCGAAATCTAGCCTGTGGTTTGGTGTCAACCCAGTAGCAGCTCCTGGAGCAGGTTGGGTCTTCCTGGAGTTGAGTTGCTTTGGAATGTGGCCCAAAGTATGTGATAAACTCCATATAAGGTTAAATACTGTCACATCACAAGACCGATAGCCAACAAGTACTGTAAGGGAAAGTTGAAAACAACTTTGAAGAGCGACTTCAAATGACATGAAACTTATAAGTAAAAGGGTGGGGTCCTCTGAGTCCATCCTGTTGTTCCTGATGGCATGGGCAATGATGATGCTGGTGGCGACAGCTAAACCCTCACTACCTCCACCCTAGTGTTTCAGAGCTGGCTTCGGTGTCTCTGGTCAGTACTGTTCTCTGAGCTCCATCTGTCCCTCTGGTTTCTTTCCTACTTCCAGTTTTCTAATCTGATCTAACTTGGGTTGCCAATTCTGAAGCCCCACTTCAGGCTCCAACTGTGTTAAACTTGGCCTCAGATCGCACAGCACTTCCTTCCTTGAAGACTGAGACACAATAAGCTCTAGTACTTGTTGACTTTGGTAGAACCATCAGGCAGCCATGGCTCAGCCAGTGCTTTGAGTATCATGAGTCTGAGTCACCAGCACTGGACAGACCCTATTGCCAGACTTAGTTGGCCCCTGTTACACTTTTGATAATGGGATCAGCAAAGATTGACACAGTCATTCACTTACCCTTAATAGGCTATCTACCTCTATCCAGGTTCCTTTAAGAGGTCTGTCACACAAGAGAGCCTTGCTCCTCAAGTCCCAGCATTGGGATGGTAGAAGTACTTCACTTCCTCCTCAATCCACTGGGCTTGAACCTGGCACTTTTTCCATCCAGTTTTTGAGGCAGAGGATTGCCTAGTCTAGATTTCAGTCTACCAACTTCTTACCTCAGCTTCCCGAATTCTGGAATTATAGATCCCCTCTCCTGTGTGTGACTTGCATAAATATGTAAACCATTTCCTACATTCCTAGGACCTACATTCTCCTGGGAACAATAAAATCAGCTGTTACCAATGTCAGTTCGTAGTACTTGCTCGCCTAAAGCAGATGGAAAGGTGATATCCAGGTGAGTAAGGAAGTAGGCACACTAACACAAGAGACTTGGTGGAGGAGAGAGCTGGTCTGCCATGATCATGCCACAGGTGAGCTTGTGTTGGATGGATTGGTCCTGTAGTACATAAACAAGAAGCCCTGGCATCTATCAATAGTTGCCATGTTGTCTGGCAGGAAAGAGCAACATGAAGGCCTTGCTTTCAGGCCAGACATAATTCAAGCTCCACTGCCCACTGCACTGCAGTCAGAAGACGAACTTTCTGTTTCAGATCCAAAACAGAAACAGCAAGATCTCTTGGGCTCTTGAGAAGCCACATGGGCTTATGTACTTGACCTCCAGGAACTCACTATACTGTAATCATGGAATACAGTCTCTATTGTGCCAATGACTAGAGGAACTTGGGTAGTTATACTTCAGGCTCTGGGGCCAGTGCTGCAGGGAGAGCAGAGGCAGGCTCAGTGGAACACTTCAGTCCGACATAGCTCAGGAGTTGGAAATACTGAGAGTCAGGGAGAGACAGTCCAGGGCTTGGAGACTTCCAAGGGCTGCAACATAGGCTTGAGCCGTGGCTCCTTTCTGCTATATGTGAAGGAGGGAGGGAGGTTCCAAGTAGCTACCACCTCTTGCAACCAAAATCAAGTCATTAGACTCCTTTCTTCATCCTACACACCCTTGCCAGGCTGGAGATTTGAGAGTTCCATGACTGAAAGCAGGAAGGCACAAGGCATTCAGTCTGACACATAGTAGGTCTCACTGATAGCCTGATGTTTTGTTCTAACCTTTCTTATCCAATATCTGCTTCAACTAGGCCAAGGTAAAACAGACAGAAACACTGGAGGCTGGAAACCAGGAGGTGGTGATGCACACCTTTAATTCCTTCACTCAGGATTTAAACAATGTTGCCATTTTATTTTCATCTTAAACTCAGAAAAATAAAGAATCAGTCTTTGTTAACTAAACAAATATGTAACCCCAAACTAATCTTTGATATATACACGTCATGCAAAAAGGTTTCACTCATGAGGGCTTACATTTTATTAAAGGACACCGTATTACTTATCCTACCAAATACTGCACTTATTAGCAAAAGCATTCCTGATCCTTTAGCTTATTCTAATTAAATAACTACAGAGATCTCACAGGTTGAACTTATACATGCTGTGGGAGCCAGTACCATTTCACCTGCTGATCCTAGGCACTCAAAACAGCACTTCTGCAGTCCTTAGTATCTATCACTAAAAGTCATTAAGATTCTACTTAGAACATATCAATAGTTTATAAGACACATTTGACTTAACAGCAAAAGGCAGAATGCCATTACAATTAATTTTTTTAAATTTAATGGTGGTTTATCAATCATACTATTTAGTTATATCAGCTCCTCTTGAGACCGTAACTTACAACTCAAATAATAACATATGTATCTTAACATAGGCATAGATCAGTCACTGTAAATTTCACAAAACTCCAGGTCTTGTCTATAGTACATTATGGACTAATTTATGTTGTAGAATATTAGTTTAAGATGTGTTATATGTGTTTATGCTGTGGAATATTTGTTTAATGAGGCAAAGATGTGTTGCATTCTTTTAAATTGCATTTGTTTAACTTAAAGTTGTGTTATTTTGCCTGCCTGAAACACCGGATTAGGCCAATAAAGAGCTTAGTGGGCCAATAGTTAGGCAAAAGAGAGCATAGTAGAGATTGTCTTGAAGATGTCTAAGTTACTTTACATTTTCAAAGTAATATGATTTGTGAAATACATTTCATTATTCCATTCACTTCCAAAAATCCCCCCAAATTTTCTTGTGCATTTTTTTTTTTTTTGTAGAGCCTAGCTTCATTATTGACCCACAGTTTGAAAGCTTGTATCTTCAGGTTTATCAAATGAAGTATACACAAACCTCTGGGAAATCTGTCAAGTCAGGATGATACTAATAAAGATACCTCCATTTAGAAACTGATGTTGAATTTTATTCAGTACTTTACTTATTTTTCATTTTATGTGCACCGGTGTTTGTCTGTGTGAGAGTATCAGATCCCCAAGAACTGGAACTACAGATATTTGTGAGGTACCATGTGGGTGATGAGAACTGAACCCCGGTATTAAGTGCTCTTAACCACTGAGCCATCTCTCCAGCCCCATCATTCAGTCCTTTAACTACAATTCTAAATGGTGGCTTTAGAACTGGAGACAGAGTTTGCTTTCTCCTTCCTTGATAATTGGAGCTTTGATGATAGTGTTTCCCTTTTAAGCATCAATTTTCTCTTTTTATTGAATTTTATTGAGCTCTACATTTTTCTCTGCTCCCCTCCCTGCCTTTCTCCTTCCCCCTTCAGCCCTCCCCCAAGGTCCGCATGCTCCCAATTTACTCAAGAGATCTTGTCTTTTTCTACTTCCCATGTAGATTAGATCTATGCAAGTCTTTCTTAGTGTCCACATTGTTGTCTAAGTTCTTTAGGATTGTGGTTTATAGGCTTGTTTTCTTTGCTTTATATTTAAAAACCACCTATGAGTGAGTGCATGTGATTATTGTGTTTCCGTGTCTGGGTTAGCTCACTCAAAATAATGTTTTCTAGCTCCATCCATTTTCCTGGAAAATTCAAGATGTCATTATTTTCTTCTGCTGTGTAGTACTCCATCGTGTAAATGTACCACATTTTCCTTATCCATTCTTTGGTTGAGGGGCATTTAGGTTGTTTCTAGGTTCTGGCAATGAAAAACAAAGCTTCTATGAACATAGTTGAACACATGTCCTTGTGGCACAATTTGGATATATACCCAAAAGTGGTATTGCTGGGTCTTGAGGAAAGTTGTTTCCTAATTTTCTGAGAAATTGCCACACAGACATCCAAAGGGTCTGTACCTGCTTATAGTCCCACCAGCAATGCAGAAGTGTTCCCTTTTCCCCAACCCTCTCCAGCACGTTGCCATCAGTGTTTTTGATTTTGGCAATTCTTACAGGTGTAAGATGGAATCTCAGAGTTGTTTTGATTTGCATTTCTCTGATGACTAAGGATATTGAACATTTCTGTATGTGGCTTTCAACCCTTTTAGATTTCTCTGTTGAGAGTTCTCTGTTTAAGTCTGTACTCCATTATTTATTGGATTATTTGTTCTTTTGATGGCAAATTTTTTCAGTTTTTTGTATATTTTGGAGATCAGACCCATCCCCCTACCCCTGGCTATATATCCTGGTCTAAAACTTTTGAAGACTTCTGCTCTACCAGATGCCAGACTGGATCTAGGGACCCTAGGTAAGACACTACCCACTAACACTCCTTAAAGCCCACCCAGCAACCCCAGACTGCACTTTTTTACCCTGGCTCCACCCTAGGGCCCACAGCCCACAGCCCACAGAAGTACCAGAGATCAGAGTGGTCTTCAGGACCCCAGGGAAGACACTGCCCACCCTACCCACCACTAAACCCTTTTAAGCCTATCCAACAACTCCGGACAGCAACTGTCCCTGGATCCCATACACTAGCCTACTACTTAAAAAAAACAAAACAAAACAAAACAAACTTGACTATTTCAGAGACCAGGAAAGGTTAAGGAACCAGGTAAGACATTGCTCATAGTCAGCTAACACTTCTTAAAGCTGACCTAGTGACACCAGGCAGCATACCCTCCCTTGAATTTCAAACTAGGGCCTACAGCCCTGGCAGTCTTACAGGAAGTGAGTCTGCTTCTAGGAACCCCAGGGAAGACACTATCCACTGCCCACTAAACCCATTTAAGCCTGCCCCAAAATCCCAGACCTGCACACAATTCCCCACCCCAACCCTTGGCTCCATATCCTGGTCTACAACTTTAGAAGACCTCTGCTTTAAATCAGTTTCTCACAGGCTAGGGATGTCACACTGACCAGCCAATCAGCAACCATGACAATGTGCGGTTGTGCAGGTGGGAGGTATGAAGCCTGAGAGACATCATGGAGAGTGACATTGAAATACAGGACTTAAACAATAAACAGTTTCTGAACCTTGAGTGGTTAGGAATGCATGCAGAGTCGATTGCTGAGAGAATTATGTCTACTAAAGTCGGTTTGTGCCTGAACTTAATTCAACAAAAAGACACTTGGGAACTTGTCCTTGTGTAATTCATCTCCAAAGGGCAACTAGTTTACTTTGAATTGCTTTTGAGGTCTTAAATCAGGTAATGGTGTAAAAAGTTGTCTTTCTAACTGAGAATATTGTTATTTTCCTATTAGTCTGAACTATGAAAAATATCCCAGTGTTATTTTCATTCATCAAAATTATACAGCTTAAGGAGAAATCATCTTTCTAACCATTCACAGATATATGTATGCCCAATAGATGGAATATATTTATGAGATAAACACATAGACAGTGGGGAAAGTACTTGTAACTGTTTTTAGGGAAGAAATGTAATGGCACATGACAGAAACAGATTCACTGTCAGTGGCCCCACGGTTATTCATCTGATGGGTTGACTTGTTGAATATTAGTTGTCACCCACAATCTTCTGTATACTCCCATGGCCTCTGGCAGGGAATGGCATTCATATTATTTCACCATGCCGCTTCGTGCAATGTTATCTGTCGAGATCCTGACACACACAACTACAGCTAAGAGATGTAACTATGACAAGTAGGATTGAAGATATCTGAGTTCCCTTGTTAGAAATTCAATATTCATTGGCTCAAGCTAACTTTCCCAAATTGTACATCCAAAATTTGGCCTGCCTTCATTCACATGACATGGATCTATCTATGTATGCTGGGAAATTACAAAATCACTGATCCTGCTACAATCAGATCCTATTTTATCACAGTGACTTCAGCAGCTGTTTGCCTACTCTGCTTCCTCCTACAGTGTACACAATAAACTATTCCTTCCATTCTGGTCTGAAGGCAGAAGCCATGTCTACACACAAATTCTTTTCCTCCTACTGAAATGGACAGTTGACTATGTGATTCAAATTTGTAATTTTAAAACTTAGTGGTGGTTGAGGTCTTTAATCTAAGAATTTAGTTGGTTTAATCACAACATGATCCTTATGTGGGAACAAGGCTACCTGATCCTACATAAGAAATTTTGTCTTGCTGGGTGGTAGTGGCACAAGCCTTTAATTCCAGCACTTAGGATGCAGAGGTAGGCAGATCTAAGTTTGAGACCAGCCTGGTCTATAAGAGCTAGTTCCAGGACTGCTAGGGCTTTTACACAGAGAAATCCTGTCTCAAAAAAACAAAAATAAAAAAGTCTCATAAACATTGTTCTATAAGGCTAGAGGTACTATTGGTCTAGAATTAATGTGCTTTGCCATGGACAAATCATTCCACACATTTAAAAGTTTAATAAGCAAAAATTTCTTTAATAACAGTGCATCCAGGGGTATTTAATGCTAAAAGAGGCAGCCTGGCACAGATTTTGCATTCCACATATGTTATCATTCTTAAGCCTCTTTTAGGTTCATGCCTGAGGTTACACTTTGAACAATTTAAAAAGAGAGAAGAGAATGCAAATCTAATCACTTAGGCAGATGGAGTGTATTTACAGAGCAAAACTCTCTTTTAGATCATGCATTATGATCTAAATATAAATGTATTATGTATGATCTAAAAGATAAATAGATCATAGTGCATGCTCTAAAGGTACATTTGAAAGAAGTATCAACGCTACAACCTTCACACATACAAAGGATATAGAACACAAATACAAAAAAAATGGAAGGGTCTCCTTTCCACACTGAATGATATTTTTAAATGAACAACTATTCTGCCTATTCTAACTTCAGATTAAGGAAGGCTTTTTTTACTTCTAAGCAAGCAGGCTCAAAGGCCACAGCTGCTTCTAGTAAGGACCAGAAAGGGCTCATTTTAACCAGCCCTGACTGTTGTTTGCTCAAGCTGTGACATTACTGTACAAAATTTCATTTTTAAGCTTTATTTTATGTATATGAGTGTTTGCCTGTACATGTCTGTCTGTGTGCAGTACCTGCAGAGGCCAGAAGAGGAAATCATATTCTTGGAACTGGAGTTATAGGAGATGATTAGAAACCATTGTCTCTGGCAATATATCCCGAGTCCAGTGCTCTTAATTGCTATCTCTCAAGCCACGCTTTTAATTTAAAACTTATTTTTTATAGATTTTAATTAAAATATATCACTCCCCCCTTCCTTGTTCTCTCCATCCCTTCCCAAATTTCTTCATCTAATTGTTCTATTTTTCAACCATCCATTGTGTAATCATACAGAGACCTAACTCTCCATTGTAATAGTGTTTCCTAATTTTTAAAGTGGGGGAAAAAACTTTTACCTGATTCCTTCAAGAATTCCCAATTTTCTCACCAAATGTGCCAACAATAATAATTATGACATGAGGCTGACTGCTGCTATGTACAACAAAAGTCTGACCAAATTTCAAGGCAGGTATTTAGTTTGGCAACATCCCAAGAGGGGTTTCAGGAAAAGCCCAACAGGAGAGAAGAAAGGAAACAGCTGGTAGGGTAGTGACTCTAACTGTATGTACTTCGACCTATACTGGTGGCTGCAAAGCCACAGGCAAATGGCTGTACCCCAAAAGTTGGGAACCAGATTTAGCACAAATTCTAGTCATTATTAATAATAAAAACCCAGAGACAAATATTGAGGTAAAGCTGAAGATGACAAAAGCACACCAGAGTTCTCACCTCTACCAATGCTCAGATGGAAGTGGTTATCTTGTCTTAAGACTGCAAAGCTCCTCAGACTCCACTGAGCTCCCATCTCCTCCCACCTTATATTCCTCTCTCTGCCCAATCATATCACTCCTGGCTTCAACTCCCTAGTGTGGAATCCCAAATGCTGAGATTACCTTTGTGTGAGCTTTGTTTTTCTTTTAGACTGGATTAATTTCATGTAGCTCAGGATGGCCTTGAGCCAACAGAGATCCATCTGCCTCTGTCTGGGATTAAACATATAAACCACCACTGCCTGGCCTCTATAGCTAACTAATGTGGCTAGTTTTGCACCCTGATCTTCAGGCAAGTTTTATTTGTTAGATCATAAACAAAATATTGCTACAGTTACCTATTTAAACTCATAGGGCTTTTGTTCCATGGAGTTGGCAAACAAAATAGAGACAGACGTAATAATACTTGAACAGGTTGGTGACACTGTCAAAATCTCTTTTCCAGAATACTCTTGTGTAACTGAATATATGTGAGTTGGCTAAAGATCTTACCAAATACTTTATAGCAAAAAGATTTTCAATATTAGTTTTTTATATGATTACTGCAATATGCAAAGGCTTTAACAGATTGATTGCACACAAAAACTTTTACTCCTGAATAAAGTGCAAAACCTTACCACACTAACAACATTTATATGGTTTCTCTGCAGTATGATTTTTTCTCATGATTTTGAAGACTACTGATGCATGCAAAGGCTTTACCACACTGATTACATTTATAGGGTTTCTCTCCAGTATGGGTTCTTTTATGCATTTGAAGATGACCGTGCTGTGCAAAGGCTTTACCACACTGATTACATTCATAGGGTTTCTCTCCAGTATGTGTTCTGTCATGCATTTGAAGATGACTGGGACGTGCAAAGGCTTTACCACACTGATTACATTCATAGGGTTTCTCTCCAGTATGTGCTCTTTTATGTATCTGAAGAGTACTGAGATGTGCAAAGGCTTTACCACACTGAATACATTCATAGGGTTTCTCACCAGTATGTGTTCTTTCATGCCTTTGAAGACTTTTGTGACATGCAAAGGCTTTACCACACTGATTACATTCATAGGGTTTTTCTCCAGAATGTGTCCTTATATGTATTCGGAAATAACTCTGACTTGTAAAAGCTTTACCACACTGATTACATTCATATGGTTTCTCTCCAGTATGTGTTCTTTCATGCATTTGAAGACTACTAAGATGTGCATAGGATTTACCACATAGATTACATTCATAGGGTTTCTCTCCCGTATGTGTTCTTTTATGAAGTAGAAGTTGACTGTGCTGTGCAAAGGCTTTACCACACTGATCACATTCATATGGTTTCTCTCCAGTATGTGCTCTTTTATGCATTTGAAGAGTATTGAGATGTGCAAAGGCTTTACCACACTGAATACAATCATAGGGTTTCTCTCCAGTATGTATTCTTTCATGTCGTTGAAGATGACCAAGATGAGCAAAAGCCTTACCGCACTGATTACATTCATAAGGTTTCTCTCCAGTATGTGTTCGTTCATGCATTTGAAGATTACTGAGTTGTGAAAATGCTTTACCACATTCAATACATCCATAGGGTTTCTCTCCAGTATGTGTTCTTTCATGCCGTTGAAGAGAACTGTGAAATGTAAAGGCTGTACCACACTGATTACATTCATAGGGTTTCTCTCCAGTATGTATTCTTTCATGCATTAGAAGATGACTGTAACGTGCAAAGGCTTTACCACACTGATCACATTTATATGGTTTCTCTCCAGTATGTGTTCTTTTATGCATTAGAAGATTACTGTAACGTGCAAAGGCTTTACCACACTGGTCACATTCATACGGTTTCTCTCCAGCATGTATTCTTTTATGTCTTTGGAGAGTACTGAGATCTACAAAGCCTTTACCACATTGATTACACTCAGAGGGTTTCTTTCCAGTATGTGCTCTTTCATTCCATTGAAAATGACTGTCATAGGCAAAGGCTTTAACACATTTAGTATATACAGAAGGTTTTTCTTCAGTTTGACTTCTTTCAAGCCTGCAAGAGTAATTGGCACAGGTAAACACTTTAACACATTCAATACACTGTTCAATATTTATATCTATATGAATTAATTTTACAATTTGGTCCAATTGTAAAGAGGAAGCAGATCTTAAAGTTTTATTACTCATGTTGTTCTTCATTAACGGTTGTTTTGCCTCTTTAAGACACCTATGATGGTAAGACCCTTTCTTACATAGTTCACAGTTATAGAATTTTCTTATATGAGATTTTTTTCACATATTTGAAGAGAACTGAAAAACTGGGAGCTTTACCACCCTTACTGCATTTACGGAATTTCCTATACTGCGAGTCACACTACATTTGCTAAGTGAACTAGGACATCTGTTGTGTGAGAATTTAATGATCATCAATGCACTTTAAACTGTGCTTATTTACATTGATGCTTTTGTTTAAAACTTCCAGGACATACATTTTCTTCAGAGACACATTTTGTATCAGCTTGCACATGAAAATTACCTTGAATGTTTTCTAGAACTCTGACAATGTTCTTCATTATTATGGTCTTCCCAACTGTATCCTGAAATATAGTACCAAAAAATGTATGTTATATTATTGTGCAAAATTTAAGTTACTATTTTCAGTAAACCTTAGAACCATGCTTAATTTATTCACCTCATTCTTCTTCTTTCTCAGTCACAGCATCAATAACCAAGGAATAATTGTTCCCTTATTTTAAAACATGAAAAAAAATGCAGACTTACCAATAGAACTGAGGTTTCTGTAGGTCTCCAGCATCACGTCTTTGTAGAGATTCTTCTGGGAAGGATCCAGCAAACTCCATTCTTCCCAAGTGAAGTTGACATGCACATCATCATAGGTCACAGCATTCTAAAATATCCCATACATGTTTACAACAGAAAGTATGATACTGACAACATTGTAAATGTATATTCTTTAACAGTATAGTCATATAATTCTGGTGCTCCCCACACTAATTCCATGACATAGATATTATAATGTAATTACCAAGTCACTTTAGAAGTAAACTGGAGGGTTACCTCTGTCATTTCTGTACCCTTAAATGGGATATCACCTTGGAAGAGAAATATCTACTAACAAACATCGAGAGAATAGTAAACAGATCAACAGTACAGAATACATGTAAAGAAATTGTATGAAAAACTAACTATAAAAAAGAAAAATAAGATGGATAAACTGGTTATATTGGCTTATGCCTTTAACTCCAGCACTCAGAAGGCAGAGGCAAGTATTACCTGCCTCTGAGTTGAATGCCAGCCTAGATTATGCAGTCAGGACCAAGACAGTTAGAAGT